TTGTTCCAGGTATCCACGTTCCCACAGTCAACTCGCTGAATTCTTGTGCTGAACAGTTATCACATCGACGTATTGAGGACCAGCGTTTTTCAGTCTCTCGACAAATCTGTTGAGGCTCTCGCAGTCTTGATTTGCGCTTCCTCGGTTCAGGTTACGGTTGTGTTAGTGTATAGAAGCCCTATGAGCACCTCCAATGGAATCATCGACTTTATACACACTCACTCTGCGAACAAGTGTCTGGTGCTGGGAGACTTTAACCTCCCAGATGTTTGTTGGGATGATCTATCTTGCAGTTCGACGCTGGAATCGTTCGGTACAGAACTGCTGGACTTGACGCTGCAGGTACCACTACACCAGTTCGTGGACCTCCCCACTAGGTACATGAGCAATCAGCAGCCGTCCATTTTAGATCTTGTTTTTGCTAAGTCACTTGACTTTGTAAATGACATTAAATACGACTCGCCTCTTGGCGCTAGCGATCACGTTTGCTTGTCTTTCCAGTGTGCTCTTATCAGGTCTTGCCAAGCTACTACCAGTTGGTATCCGAACATTTGGGCCGCGGACTTCCAAGCGATGCGGGATAGAGCTAGGTCATCGCCTTGTGTGATATCTGATACCGACACTGTTCATATAGCCTGGGAAAAGCTTAAGGCTCACCTCGTCGACATTTCTGCACCTCGCGTCCCACTGGTAAAAAGAAGGGAATCGAGAGCGCAGCCTCCGTGGATAGATTCCGCGGGGAAGGGCCTGCTAAAGAAGCGGTCTAGATGCTGGCGAGCTTACCGAACAGCTCCGTCAAATGGCACGTTTGACAAATATCGGTTGGTTCGAAATGAGTGCAAGCTACATCTTAGGTTGGCCCGGCTTCAGTATGAAAAGGGCTTAGCTCATACTGCTTCGAAAAATCCCAAGAGATTCTTTGCTTACGTTAAACGACGCTGTGGTGCAAACTCGCCCATTCCACCATTGCTTCGAGGAGATGGGACTCATGCCTATAGCGACTATGACAAGGCATGCGTGCTTGGTAAGCAGTACTCAAGCGTCTTTGTCCGCGAGACAAATACGCCATGCAAAGAGTTAGTTCCAAGAGTCCCTGAGGACTGTTGTCTGGATGAAATTCCTGTAACGGAGTCCCAAGTTATCCGGTTGCTAACAGAGGTGAACCTAACTAAGGCTTCTGGGCCAGATTCTGTTCATCCAAAATTGTTGCACGAATTGGCAGGGGAACTCAGTGGACCTCTGACTTGTGTGTTTCAGAAGTCACTCAACAGCTGTATCTTGCCTACCGAATGGAAGGAGGCTGTTGTCTGCCCGATTTTCAAGTGCGGTGACAAAGACCTGCCTGCTAATTACAGGCCTGTCAGCTTGACTAGCGTGGTCGTTAAGTTACTTGAAAAAATAGTACGAGATACAGTGGCGAACCATTTAAGTAGGTTTAACCTGCTTAGCGTCGAGCAACATGGTTTGCGCAAAGGATTTTCGTGTCAGACGAACTTGCTGGTAGCTCGAGAGTGCTGGGCTGAAGCCGTAGACAGTGGACATGCGGTGGATGTGGTGTTCATTGACTTCGCCAAGGCCTTTGACACTGTCCCCCATTCGCGACTCTCGCTGAAGTTGAGGTCGTATGGAATAGCTGGTCGTGCTCTCCAGTGGGTGTCAGCTTTTCTGGATGGACGGGAACAGTGTATTCGTGTGGGAAGCAGTCTTTCGTTTCGACAGGCTGTGCTTAGCGGCGTTCCGCAAGGCTCTGTCCTAGGTCCGCTGCTGTTCTCAGTCTACGTGAATGACTTGCCGGAGGAGCTTGAGGTACAATCGCTTTTATTTGCTGATGACCTAAAGCTCTGGAATATTGTTGATATCCCTGGAGGTCCTATGGCTCTTCAACGGGCTCTGGATAAACTCTGGGAATGGTCTGTCTTGTGGTTGCTGCCTATAAACCGGGCAAAGTGTTCAGTGCTGCGTATCGGAGCGTCTGATTCCTCCACAAGTTATGTGCTCGATGGGACTGTACTTCCTCACGTGACTCATCAGGTTGATCTAGGTGTCATCCACTGTTCCACATTACACTCTGGAGACAACTGGAAGAAGGCGGCTAGTAAAGGGTTCCGGATGCTGTGGTTTATCCGTCGTTCTTTTGGGACCCTAACCGCTGATGTATTTGTGAAGCTCTTCTCAGCGTTTGTGCGACCCCGCCTAGAATATTGCGTCCAGGCCTGTCCACCATGTCTTGTCCGGGACAAAATGGCACTAGAAAGGGTGTTGCGTGTCGGTACTAGGTTGGTCAAGGGATTACGAGGGCAAACGTACCCCGAACGCCTACTTAGTTTGGGAATGCAGTCAATGCACTATCGAAGGATTAGAGGGGACCTAATCCTAACCTACCGTATTTTGACTGGGAAGGTTGGCCCTGATTTGTCCATGCTATTTAGTCCTGCTAGATTATCTGGTCTCCGCGGGCATTGTATGAAGCTGGACAAGCCGCGGTCCGATCGAGTTAGAGCGGAGACACGCTTATCGCGTCGAGTCATCGAGCGCTGGAACCTGCTTCCTGAAAATGTTGTCAAGGAAGCTACGGTTAAGGGGTTTGAGCGTAAACTAGATGCTCTTGGGTGGCAACACGAAACCTTTCCGTTTTCCTGACAAATTCCCATCTTCATACTTCGATTCTATTTTCTTTGCTTTTCCTCGTCATTGGTATTATTCTCTTCTTTTAACTGATTTCCCCTACTCCCTTACCTTCGATTCTCCTTCCTCTCTTACTTACTTCACGTAACTGACACAGCTGGGACAGCTAATGTTAGGAACGTGGGCATTAAATTGGTGGACCAGGGTGTTTTTCGGGTGTTTTCCTTTTAGACCCATCAAGAAGTCGGAGCACCCCTATCAACTCCTGGATCGACGACCCGCTCAAGAAGGAACACTTACGGGATTCATCCTATCGTTCCAGTCCCACTTGAACTTGAACTTGAACTTGAACTTAAACACCACTACTGCGTCGAGACCCACAACATCTGGTACCTACCGACGAGATCAGGACCTTGCCGTAAGATCCCGAGGCGAAATCACCGATAAGCTACGCTTACTCGTTCTGCGCAAACCCGTGAAACCCGTCCCATTTGCCTTTGAATTGAATTGAATTTGTGGCAACTATTGTCAAATAAGCATGCGCTGTAAATTGGTGAATACTAACAAATTACTGTCAAAAGTAATGCGCCTAATTCCAATAAACTGGTGGTACTAGTTAAACTAAAATATATATTTATAAGCGAATTACCATGGAACACGAGTGATGCTACCGTCGTTCATTTTTATTCGGCACTTAACTTGACTGTGCTGATAATAAATTAATTGTCAACTGTAACAACATAAATGCATCACTTTGATGAAATGATTAGCGGAAGTTAATAGTGAAACAACTTTGGTTTAGTGGAAATCTTTGAGTTCTGTGCACTCGTTTGCATGCACCAAGTTTTACCGACGACACTCCACGCGCTCTGCGGAGCAATTCAAAATGACAGGTTTGTACCAATTCTGTATGCAGTTTACACTTTAGCAGTTAAGTTTTTAGATATTGTGAAGCCGTTTTGCGCTATTTTGCCTGAAATATCGCGGCCGGAGCGAAAAATCCAGTTCCGCGAAAGAGTGCTATGGACTGGGATCACACTTATGATATTTCTCTTCTGCTGTCAAATTCCGCTTTTCGGCATAATGTCATCAGAATCCGCCGATCCTCTTTACTGGTTGCGTGTCATATCGGCTTCTAATAAGGGAACATTGATGGAACTGGGAATTTCTCCTATTATCACTTCCGGCCTGATCATGCAACTGCTCGCCGGTATCCAGGTTCTTTCCGTCGGTGATGCCCCCAAGGATAGAGCCCTATTTAACGGTGCACAGAAGCGTAAGTTTGTTCCTTATCCTCTTGACTTCAAAGACAGTTTTCGGAATGGTAATAACGATTGGGCAAGCTTCCGTTTACGTCATGTCCGGTATATACGGTGCTCCAAGCGAGCTGGGTGCTGGCATTTGCCTGTTAATCATATTCCAGGTAAGTAGATTATCCACCATTCACTCTCCCTAGTTGACATTTGCCGGCTTGCTGGTCTTGATGTTGGATGAGCTACTGCAAAAAGGATACGGCCTGGGGTCCGGCATTTCTTTATTCATCGCTACCAACATATGCGAGACAATCGTCTGGAAAGCCATAAGTCCAACGACCATAAACACTGGACGAGGTAAAAAATTGCGCAAATTGAACTTATTAATTAGGTACGGAGTTCGAAGGTGCCATTATTTCCTTGTTTCACCTCCTTGCGACGCGCAGCGACAAAGTTCGCGCATTGCGTGAAGCGTTTTACCGACAAAACCTTCCCAACTTAATGAACATACTAGCGACTGTACTAGTTTTCGCGGTTGTCATTTACTTCCAAGTACCTCCTTTTCCTTGAATCATAGCGGCTTTCAGAGTTTCCGCGTCGATATAGCCGTCAAATCGATCCGATACCGTGGTCAATCCACATCTTATCCCATCAAGCTGTTCTACACTAGTAATGCTCCTATAATGCTTCAGAGTGCTTTGGTTTCGAATCTTTACGTGATGTCACAGGTTTGTCTCGCGATATCTCTACATGCTGCAGATGCTTGCTAGTAAATTTCGTGGGAACTTTATTATTAACCTCCTTGGCATGTGGTCCGATGGCGAAGGTGGTTCTCGCTCTGTGCCTGTCGGGGGTTTGTGCTATTACATGACGCCACCAGATTCGCTTGGAGATATGCTGGTGGACCCACTGCACGGTATTCTCTACATTGCTTTCATGCTCGGAAGTTGCGCTTTCTTCAGCAAAATTTGGATTGATGTATCGAATTCAAGCGCCAAAGACGTCGTGAAGCAGTTAAAGGAACAGCAGACTTTTGTTCCCGGGCATCGTGAAAACTCAATGGTTCACGAATTAAATCGGTACATCCCCACTGCAGCTGCTTTGGGTGGTTTGTGTATTGGCGCACTATCTGTACTCGCCGATTTCCTGGGTAAGTCTGTGAAGTAATTTTCTCTGCGTATTTTTTTAGCGCCTTACAGTAAAGGTGATCCGAGAACATAGCTTTACTAGATCCAATTACGGCGACTCGCAACAAACTGTATTTTAATGCAATGCTCATCTCGGTGACTCATTGAGCCTCGAGGGTAACATTTTTCGGTCACTCATACCAGAAAAGTCAATAGTCAGTGACCGGACTAACTCAGTCTCACCATCCTCTCCTAAGGCTAGGATAATCTCGATGGCCCCAATCATTAAAACACCCACTGGAGACAGGTAACGGGCTATAGGTTTACAGTTAGATTACCCTAGCGCACGAATGCGACGCATTGTCCCTAACTACTGGAGAGCACTGCTCGGTGGGCGTTGGCTTCTTACCGTCCACCTTAAGCGAGGCAGCCCGTAGCTGAATAGGTCTCAACCCACCAACTCCCACCGCAGTGTACTGTGAATTTTTCTAGTTTTTCAAAAGCAGTGCGTGATGTCTAAATCAAATCACAATAGGTCTCTGCAGTAACATTCATGGAACTTAACCTAATGCTATGGTCCATGTCCCTCAGTGATCAATCGAGCTACACTGGGTGGTGCTTTTTGCACCTTCAGTGCCACTCAGTCCAGGTTGGGTTTGGAGTGAAGGTGGCCCCCTACTTCATAAAGCAGACTCTAAACTAGTGCCCAAACCTCGCTGCCTTGCGGTCAGGTTTTGAACCAAAGGCTTTATTTAAAAGCCCTAATCCTTTCCTTGCTTATTTCTAAGCAACCTGACACTTCTGCCCACGCAATACAATGAAGGTTTTCTCATTTTTTTTCAGTCCTGTGACCATTGCATTGAACCATTGAATTGTAGATAGCAGAAGGGGGAACCCTTGTCAGCTTCATCGCATCCCGGTCAGAATAGTGACGATGCGTGACATTGATAAACGGCACTCACAATGGGCCGTTACAGGTGCAACGAAAGCAAGACGATCCCGGCATCTGCAGCAAATGGATGTCCAACAGCCTCTTAAAACTTCACTCACTGGACTCGTTGAATACAGGCTCCGGCGGAGTTCCAGTCGTTCACCACCCGAGTGGATAGAGTGACCACTGGGCGGACACATAGACTCTTCGGCTTAAGCAGCTTTCAAATGTGTCCCCGCTTCGAGCTTTCAGTGGACACATTGTTGCAACTCGGTGCACAGTTCTCCAACAATACGCCTGGTGTAATCAAGTCTCTCCGGCGACAACGATAATCCGAAGAGAACAGACTCGTCTGTTGGCGAGCAGGGTACGATATACTACGTAACACCGAGACCGATTTGGAATCACGCCTCTGTACTATTTCAAGCGTGTTGCATTCAAATTTCCTGAGGGGATAAACAGCCAGTAACCCATACTCAAGAATATGCCTCACATGCGATGATCTCCGGCGACAATCGAAAGATCTTATAGCGCTGAACATCCTGTTAGCTGCACCGACTTTCCTCCAAGTATCCTGGGTTGTTTTAAGATCGAGAGACACATTAGTGCCTAGCTCCTTCGCTAGAATTGCATTCGTGAGTAGGCAACCGCCAACATGGTGTGTGCCGAAGGGTTCAGGAGCACCGATTGGGGGGACGTAACGCTTGTCACGGTTAATGGGCAAACCCCAAGTAATGGAACAATCATTAAGGGTGCCAACTGTTGACTGTAATCTGTCGACACCATGGAGGCCAGAAACCTTTAACCATAGTTTCAGATCCTCAGCATAGATTAGACATCGCACCTGAAGCACAGAGGGAAGGTCGTTGAAGAGTTTGTACAATTCGGGACAAAGAACCGGACTCTGCGGCACGTCACTGGTCATCAGGAAAAGGTTTGGATAGAGCTTCATTCACTTCTCATTCATTCTCCTTGGAAGATCGTGCAAGAAATCCGCGATCCAAGAGCAAATATCCCCCGTGCACCAATAGCCCAAAACCTAAGGAGTCGTTCATGTGGTACCTTATCAAGCGCCTTACTGAATTCGACGAAAATAACGTCCAAGTCTACCCGCCTAATGCTTTTTCTCATCTTTCTCTAACGAAAACGCAACCAAAGTCACCAATGCTTATCCGGACAACCGCTTCAAGTCCACAGCGATCAAGCATCTATTTAACACTGGCGACAGAAAACCTTTGCGAATTACATAAACGTAGCTAAACAAGCCCACTTGCACACTTACATACATTTATATATCAACATCTGCAACAATTCCATTGTACATCACTTTTTGTACTCTTAACATGTTCATGCCTATGAAGGCGTGCCTCTCTTAGTCGGCTATCAGATTCATGGCATCCAAGTGCCACTGTAGAAAACGTTTCAGAAGTCTCTCCATGACTACGAATAATCGGCGTCAGGCAAATCGGGTGGTAGTTAGAGGGGTCTTGACGATTCCCACCTTTGTAAACTGGCTTGATGATACCAACTTTCTAATCAGATGCAAGGCGGCCAGTTGTCAAGGAGAGCCGAGAAATAAGACTTGTTGGACTTCCAATATGCTCAGCGACGGATGCAAACCATCTAGACTAGGAGACGAGTTGGTATCCGATTCAAGGAGGAGCCGCAATACCATGTCTGTGTTTATCTCAACAGAGCCAAGAAGATAGGGGTGTGAATTGACAGTAGAACAGAACAGCAAGGCCTCTATCGTATAGACCAGGGGGTGTACAAACATCTTGCAAGGATGGCCACATTTTGTGAGGTAAAAATATGTCGGGCCATATCCAGTCTAACGTTGAGATAATAACAAAAATTACACGTACGAAAAAAGTCCAAGCCTGAATTCGTTATTTTATGATGCAGTCGCGAGTTGGACTTTGGACACTCCTGGAATAGACGATTTAGCACTATTTGGCAAGATCAGTTTTCGCATCGTCATCGTGAAGTGCATCTGCCTCCCGGAAGGAAAACAAGGCGGGGACCATTTCTAGCTTTGATAGTCCGTTTCAGATACGGAAGGAGTTTCTTGGGACATGTTGAAGATAGTGCAGCCAAATCGCACTCATACTACTGGCGCTTCTCACGTTTTTTGCGGCACAAAGGTTTCTGGCGGCTTTCTAATCAGAATAGGTAGTAGTCCATTGTTCAATTTTGAATTTGTCCTCTAACCTCAGTCTGTTTTTCAACAAAGATCGTTGTTCAACATCGATCTAGGGGGGGACCCCCTAGAAACCGGTCTTATTCGGGAGACGGACAAGGTGATCAATAAGCATGGTTGCCTTGGTGCGGAAGTGAATCCACACATCATCCAGCTCTAAGTGTTCAGAGATGCTCCAATCGACTGCACTCGCAGCAGGTTTTATGCGTCCTGGATCGGGAGTGAACTTCTTGGCCATGAACAGCGAGATGTGCCCACGAGAAAGAGACCACACAGTGGTCACTTGCCCGGCGGCTGGAGTACAGATCATCTAATGGCATGGGACGGTGCTGATGTAAACACTAGGTCAAGGCTATGAGTAGCCTTGCCTTGGAGAATCCGCTTAGAAGCTGTAACATGCAGAGTCAGGTTTATTTCTAGGATGGATTCGAGGAAAGCGTAGTCAAAAGATTCAACAGAAAGCCCACAGTGAAGGTTCCCGATCGATACTGGGAGCATTGAAGTCACCTATAATCGGACGATCTCTTCTGATTCCATACTTGCTGATAGCTTTCAACAAGCTATAACCGGATCTTGATGGAGTCCTGTATTTAGTACCGACTATAAGCTATCTACAACCATCATGGACGCGGCACCAAAAGAGCTCCCATTCTCCGTCGCTGTCACATAAAACTTCAACAATATGAACTCGAAGATCCACCTTCCAGTAAAGAATAACACCTCCGCCAGCACACCCTGCAGAACGATCAGCTCGGGGAGTATAGTAGCCTGGAATGGAGATCTCAGAGTGCAGAATGTCCGAGGTCAGCCAGGTCTCAGTGAACGCCATCAGTGTTCTGCTGAAAAAAGATGAATCTCGTCCAGTTTATTTCTCAGACTACGCACATACAACACGTAATCCTCACTTTAACCTCAATGTCTGAAGATTACAAATATTGGCTTCTACCGGGCTCTCGGAGCTCTCTAGACAACTGGAAAATCCACAAAATAGAGATTTGATTCCCCATTGGCTCGATAAGCGCGCATTTTTCATTTTCACCCGACCCTCTGGGGAGAGGTCTCTGAGGACGAAATACGCTTTCCCTCAGCCGAAAAGTTCGTCTGAGAGTGCGGCGAACTTCGTCCTCATTTTGACAGACGATTTTTAAAAGACGATTTGGATGGTTCATCCTGCTCTCTGCCGAGGCGAAAAGCGGAAAGCTTATTGATTCCCTGCTCGCCATCATCGAACATACGAGAACTCATGCGCTTAAGGAAAGTCTGGTCATCCAGAATTCTTTCAGATTGAGATTCCTTGTTGGACTCAGGAACATTCATAACAATCA